GGGACAATGTCGCTGTACCCGCACCGGGCTGCTACATCCTGGACATCCGACATCGTGGTTATGTCGCAATGAGTCTCTCCAAAGGTCTGGACCCAGGGGCTGCCATGTCATCCAGAACCAGTTTCTGACGATCACGGGGTCCTGGCAAGAGCAGAGGAGGCCGAAGACTCACGAATTACACGTTCAGTCCTTGTGTGGTCACGCGCGTGATTTCCACGCTTGCTCAGCACACGCGTTCAGATGCGGCGTCCAGGTGCGACTTAGAGAAGACGAAGGAGAACATGTATAAACCCATCGACAACAACAACAACACCAACACCAACACCACCAACAACAACAACAACATCAACAACATCAGCAACAACAATAACAACACGAACAACAACAACAACAACAACAACAACAACACCAACACCAACACCAACACCAACACCAACAACAACAACAACACCATCAACATTAACAACAACAGCAGCAGCAGCAACAACAACAACGACAACAACAGCAACAACAGCAACAACCATTACAAGGCTGTTCGCTCTTACTTGCCCGTGTGTCATTCACAACGCGTTCCCCACACCCTCGATACCCGCCCGTTTTGTTTTCGAGCACACCCCGTTTGGGGGGGATTAGTTGTCTTTGCGGGGGGCGGCGGAGTTAGACAGGCGGGCAAACCTGAACGGGCCGAGGATCCTTCGTGGGCGTACATGTGACCGCCATTGGAAGTGGTGTGGGCCCTGCAAATACGGATGGGGAGAAAGAGGGAGAGCGGGAAGAAGGGAGGGGGAGGGAGGAATGAAGACGGGCAGCGCCAAAAACAAAAAACCAAGAGGGGGGCGGTTGATTAGAGGCAGAGAGAGGGAGAACGAGAGAGAGAGAGATACATACATATAGTAGAGGTAGAGAGGGGGAAACGGGAGAGGGAGGAAACAAGAGGGAGGGAGGAGGCAGGAGAGGGGAGGGAGAAGGGAGGAGGGAAGGGAGGTAGAGGGAATAGGGCATAGAGGCCTCTGGATGAGGGAAGAGAGGAGGCAGAGAGAAAGGGAGGAGAGGAGGGACGAGGGAGGACGGAGAGGGAGGAGGAACAGGACGGTAAAAGCGTGAACCTTCGAGGTCGTCCTAAGCGAAAACGCCGTTACTGAAGGAAGTCTCGGGCGGGAACCCACGACGGGCGGGCGATCCCCTGACGGGCGGGTCGGGCGGGTGGGACATTCAAGCGGAATGCCTGAGCCTGAGTATGGCGAGAGCGCGATTCCCAAGTAAATTGTGACGGCCTCCTTGGCGCAGCGTGTTTCCTGAGCGTCGATAACGTAATTTCTGAATCCCACCAGCCCTCTGGGCGCAAGTGGCCTTGAGCGCTCCCTTTTCCAACCTCCTGTTTTTCCCTGTTCAGGAGGTTGACCCCCCCTCCCTGCGTCTGGACGGGCTCCCCCGCGATGTGGCAGAGGGTCCTTTTCGGTCCAAGGTGGCTCCTCGATGGCAACATGACCTCCAAGATGGTCGAAGATAGCGGTAGATGGGTCAAGACAGCCTCCGACACACGTCCAGGACGCCTCAAGACGGCCCCAAGACGGTTCCAAGTGCCCTCAGATGCCTGCAAGCGCCCCCCCCCCCCCCCCCCAAGAGGCCAACGTCCTTCAAAAAACTTACGGGAAATGAATGTGCGTTGCCTTTTTCGCTGTTTCGCCTCCGATGGGCTCTTGAAGCCTCAAGATGGCCGCAGGACGGCCCAAGATAACCCGAAGAGGGGCCCGAAAGGGCCCCAAGACGGCCCCAAGAGCGCCCCAAGAGCGGGCCAAGAGGGCCCCTTGACGGCACTTTTGACCTCCGATGGAAGGTCCGAATTAAGGGCCTTTTTCAGCGAAAGGGTCCAGGGCGACCCCGAAAGACCCCTCAGGCATCCCAGGAGAGCCCCGACAAGGCCCCCAGACCCCCCAAAAGCCAAGGAGGGTCCCAAGACGCCCCCAAAGAGCCCCAAGAAACCCAAGAAAACCCTAGGGGGACTTCAGCAGGGGCCCAAGAAAGAGCACCAGGAGGCCCCAAGAAACGCACGCGTGTTTAAGATACAAATCAGTGCAATGGTCATTACGAGGCACCGAAACGCCCCTCACCCCTCATCGAAGCACCATCGTTGCTTGCACGGATTTCCTTTTTGAGCATCCACGTGGGAAGCTATGTGCGATCATTGTTTTCCCGAAGACGGCCGCGCGACTGCATGCGTTATGCCGCCCCGGATTCGCCAATTCCCCTGCCGATCGTTTCTGGATGGGCTGGCGGGGGTGGTATTTTGTTCGCAGCCGCAAGCGGACAGCCGCGCGGCGTCGCGAAGTTGCGCGCAGAGCGTAAACCGGTGCAAGAGCACAGCGCAACTGTCGCCGGGCGAACGCGGAAAAAGGACGGGGCCACCGAACGGAAGCGGCGCTCAGCGGCGAAAGTGGTCAGGCGACACGCCGCGGCACCACGGGCGAGGCGGGGGAGGGCGAGGAAGCCGCGAGACGAC